TATAATATATATATATATATACATTATAATATATAATATATAATATATGTTATTAAATTATTATGTATATATATCTATTATATATATATATGTATAATATATATATACTTTTATATATATATAATATTAATATATATATATATATATATATTATATTATTACTTATATATTATATTATGTAATATAGAAGTAATAAATAATATATATATATATATATATGTATATATAGTATATATATATAATTATATTATATATATATATATATATATAATATACAAGTTATAATATATATATATACTTATTATATATTATATTATATATATATATTATATATATATTATATATATATATATGTTATTATTTAAGTATACAATATTATTATAATATACTATATATATATATATATATATATATAACTTATATATATATATATATAAGTGTATTATAATATATATTATATATATATATATTATATATATAATATATATATATATATATGTTATATATATATATATATATATATATTAATATTATATATGTATATATATATATAATATAATTATATAATATATATACTATATACTATAATATATATATTATATATATATATATATGTATTATGTATACTATATATATTTATACTATTATATATATATTATACTATTATATACTATATATATATATTATATATTAATATATCCTGTTATGTATTAAGTGTATATATACTATTATATTCTAATATTATATACCTTCTATATACTATCTATATACTATGTCTCTATAGTTACTATTTAATATATAATATAATACATAGCATACACACCACTCAGTATACTAATATAATATCTGTGTATGTATTATATGCTACTTAATATCTAGTAATATGTATACTATTATATAATACTAAATATATATATTATATATAATATATATAGCTATATCTATACTATGATATTATGCATATATAGATATATATATTTTAACCATATTATATATATTGTATATCTCTATATTATTACCTTATATACTATATACTTACTCAATACAAGCAATACATATATATTTATATATATAATGTATATTATAATATATATATATATCTATATTACATATTTCATACTGTATACTAAGTATATATATATAGGAATATAACTATATATATATATTACCCTATATACCTCGTGTTATATATATATAATTAATATAACTATAACTAATAACTACTATAACTATATATATAAATAAGTTATAGTATATATAGTATACTGATAATATACCTATATATATATATATAATATATATATATATATCTGTATGTATATATGTATATATATATATATATAGTATATTATATATATATATTATATATATATATATATGTATATATATGTTGTATAATATACATATATATATATATATATATATATATATATATATATATATAATTATATATATATACTATATAATATACCCTACACGACACAAATACTATAACCTGTCCTGTATAAAATAAAAAAAAAAAAAAAATATTGCAATATATATATTTATATATATATATACTTATTAACCCTCTCATAACAACCTACATTAACCTTCTATATATTACATATCATGGTATATATGTATGTATTATATATAGTAGTATATATGATGATATGTATATATATATATGTATATATATATATAGTAAGTAATATATATATATACCATATATATAGCATAATATATAGCAATATCAATCTACATATAATTTAATTAATATATATATATATATAAATATCTAATATTATTAATTATCATTATAATATATACAATATATATATAATATATTATTATTATTATAATATATCTATTATACTTACTATTTATGTATATATAAATAATAATAATATATATATATATATTATATATATATATATATATATATATATGATACTATTATATATAATATATATTACAATATATAATATTATATACTTATATTATATATATTAAGTATAATAATATATATATATATATATATATATATATACTATATTATATATAATATATATTATATGTATAATTATATATATATATATATATAATATATAATATATTATATATATATATATATATTATATAATATAATATACAGAGATATTTTGCATTTCTAAAAAAAAATTGGGTCTTGATTTTTGACTCATTCATGAGTAAGTTTCACGTTTATTATGCAAACAGTATCCATGCTCTAAGGGGTAACAGTAACTTAAATGCTAAAACAGCTGATCTAATTTTATACATCACTGTATTGATGATAACCTCTTGGGAATCTTTACCAGAAATGGAAAAAAAATAATAAATTATCAGCACTGAAGCAGTTTACAAAGCAATAAAGACAAACATGGTAAAATGTTTACTGCACTAATTTTACTCACAAATTAAATAAAACGAAAGGTGGAATGTTAAAAGAAAATCCCACAACACCTACTTATGAGGTAACCTAAAAATGGAGAAATGAACGGAGAAACAAAAACGGCTACACAATATATCCAACATGTCTGTGCCGCTAAGGGGATTATTTTGTTCAAGGTAATGTGATCATGGAGGAGTTTCTGCCACTCTTCACTCTTTATGAAAATCTTTTGAACAATGCTATGGATGACTTTAACTGTAATACATCCCCAAAGTGGCAAAGGAAAATACAGAAAATGTACATACAAGTAGTGTTTGGAACAACAAAAAAAATATAAAAATAACAAAATAAAATTATATTTTTCTTTTGTAAATCCATAATTCAGGGTGTAGTACCTTGTTTGTAATTGTCCCTGCACACTTTTCACTGTAGCTGTGCATAATTAGAGAAAAATAACTTAGAAGTAATAATCCCTAAAGAAACTCTTTAACATGGTAAGAACAATTAACAATTCTCTTTAGCTTAGGGAAAGCATATGTTTTTTTTTTTCAACTACAGAATTACCATTCGGTCTTCCTGCTCTAGACCACAACTACAGAAGTGAAGTTCTTCTGTTTACCAATTCACATCAAGAAGAATAAAACCAAATCAACTGGATGCAACATGTACAGTGCAATAGTTGGGCTGGACAGAACTCAACTAGCACTACTACTACTACTACTAATACTGCTGCTACTTTTGCAATCATGAATGATTATGTGGAAAATAAAAATAATTTGTACTTGGCTCTTCAAACCAATGGTAAAGCTGCTTGATCAACAGAGGTAGATGTGTTATGAAATACCCTATCATTACCATATAATACTTGCGTCTCTCCAGAACATAATGATCAATAATAAAAGTAACATTCGAGAGTCTAATCGCAAAACAGTAGCAGTAAAACGGTTTGCTGTGGTGGTGGTTGTGGCTGTGAAGTACCTGTGTGAAGTGCAAGGTATAGAAGTAATGAAGATAGTAGTCATCTGTTGTTTGTGATGCAAGGAATCTTGCTAATAATGATGCCACAATTCATATGCTGTTTGTAATGAGTGAGAATAGTGGTGATATCTAAGGTAGGACACAAAATGGCAAACATATTAAAGGTTGAGATTTTTGTGTGAATTACAAACAGGGTTCTTTCTAACAGGTTTTGAGAGTTCTTTCAGAGACGAGAGAGAGAGAGAGAGAAGAAGAGAGAGAGAGAGAGAAGAGAGAGGAGAGAGAGAGAGACGAGAGAGAGAGAGAGAAGAAGAGAGAGAGAGAGAGAGAGAGAGAGAGAGAGAGAGAGAGAGAGAGAGAGAGAGAGAGAGAGGAGAGAGAGAGAGAGAGAGAGAGAGAGAGAGAGAGAGAGAGACAGAGAGAGAGACAGAGAGAGACAGAGAGAGACAGAGACAGAGACAGAGACAGAGACAGAGACAGAGACAGAGACAGAGACAGAGACAGAGATAGACAGAGACAAAGAGAGAGAGACAGAGAGACAGAGACAGAGAAGAGAGACAGAGACAAGAGAGAGAACAGAGACAAAGATAGAAAGAGATGAAAGAGACAGAGACAGAGAGAGACAGAGAGAAGACAGAGACAGAGACAGAACAGAGACAGAGACAGACAGGAGACAGAGCAGAACAGAGACAGAAGACAGACAGAGACAGAGAACAGACCAGAGAGACAGAGAGAGAGTGCATGTAAAAGCATGAGAGTAAAAGGCAGAATAAAGAGAGCAATGTCACTAATCTTATCTGTCAAAAATTCTTAATTATGATAAACGGATAAAAAAAAAAGTTAAAAGGAAAAACAGTGTAAACATATACATAATATATATATACTAAAATAAGCAGTTAAGAGCCGGGTAAAAAAAGAAAATTAGAACACCTTATGCGAAGGACATGGATAACACAGTTCCTGACGTCTTATATAGTTGCCTGTCATGAGGTTTTGATTATGCTGTTATATACACGGAAATGAGTAGTGTCTGAGGGAGGAGGAGGAAGGAGGGAAGTGAAGGAGGATGGAAGGTAGGAGGTAGGAGGAGGTAGGTTAGGTAAGGAGGAGGATGCTAGGAAGTTGGGAGGAGGAGAGGATCGATACACGAGGAGGATAGGAGAGGAAAGGGAGGATAGGAGGAGGGAGGAAGGGTAGGAGGATAGGAGAAGGGGAGGAAAAGGAGGAGGGCCCGGAGGAGGAGGAAGGGAGGAAAGAGGGGCAAATACAGGAGGAGGGAGGAATAAGGAGAGAGCGAGAAGGTAAGAGGAGGAGGAGCAGGAGGAGAGTTAAAAGGAGGTTTAGCAAAGGAGGAGGAGGAGAGAGGAGGATATTAGGATGTAGGAAGGGAAGGGGGAGGAGGAGGAAGAGAAGGAGGAGGAAATAAGGGTAAGGAAGGTCTAGGAGCGCAGGAAAGGAGGAACGAGGAAGGGAGGTATTTCAGGAGGAGCATAAACGGAGGAGGAAGGGAGGCAGGAGAAGGGTACTGTAGGATATAGAGGGCGGACAACATAGAGGGTAAGAGGATGGGGAAGGTGTGGGGAAGGGAGTGATTTAGGAATTACTTACCGTCCCAATCACACGATCTTAGGGATGGGACGGTGATGTGAATCCTGAAAACATGTGGTATTTATACAAGCATATACATAACACTCATAACAAAAAAAGGATAATCGTCAAACAATCACACATGTGATAGTTATATAAGCATATATCTGAAAAAGAGTGGACAGTATTGATTACACATCTATATATCAGTATACAGTTGAGTGTGGGTGGGGTATACACTAGACTGTCCCCTCTCCCTCCTTCCCCCCACATGAACAATTTCTGGGCACTCCTAAAACAAGTCAACTATGTATCAACTCTGGACTGTGATAACTATTAAAACGGACATCTTTCTAAATACAAAAACACGTCCTATATACTAATAATGTGTGCACTAACTACTTCCAAGGATTAAATCTATAACATATTCTTATTGAAATTGAAGAACTATCATTCTACAGAAACTCTGCTATCACTATAATGGAAAATTATCTATCAGGTTACTTTCTAAAGAGAGATTTTGTTTTCAGAAAGATCAAACATTTTTCAGTTATTTCAAGTACATTATTGTCTCACCAAAAGACTGAAAACTGATTCTAAAACAATGCTGTATACTACAAAATCACTGGCATTATTTTCTGTCCCTATCATCTCTAAGCCTCCTGGCCGAGGCATTGAGACATGACGTTTTCATTACTAAATAGTGTTTTCAAACACTTTCAAAAGGAAGCCTTAAAACTTATAAAGTTCATGAACACATCCGTTGCACACCCTGCTGACTTACTCAAAACTAGGAACTTATCTCGGAACTTATCTTGAAACTTATCTCTATACACACTGCTTTGTGCTGGTTGAGGACACACCACCTTGGACTCTGATGTATCCTCTGGCTCACTCATGTGATCACAGAGCACATCATATGTGCATTATTGAACTACTCCCTTCCTCAGTACAAGAACATACCAAGATGCTTGCCAAACTACTAGTCCTTCATTCATTATCTCGATCTCTTGGTTTCTGCATGCACTGTTCGGCTGTTCTCAAAGTACTCTTGTTAGTCTTTGACATGTTTCTGTGCAGATCTACTTTTCCCTGGACATTCTGCATAGATTATCAAACTTTTTGGTATGTAAATTACCTATTCATGGATATACTGAGCTCCTAGAGTGAAAAAAAAAAAAAAAAAAAATCTGCAGCAAATTTAACATGGACAAACATGTAAAGATTGAGACATCTCCACAGTGTGGCTTTGAGATTGTCAATTCTAGTGTTAGTTTGTATGAACCTTAATGCATGCAATTATGTGACTGATGTTTGCCTGTATGAGGATGGAATACCCTTTCCCTAAAATTCAAAATGGTGATGTGACCCATTTATCTTGCTGGGTAAAAATGGAAACATCTAAAAAAATATATAAATTTCTTACCTATGGTATATATATATAACACTCTGGTCAAAAAGAGTATCAACATTTCAGCTGAGACTGAGGTTCAGCATCATGGCAAGGATGCAACCACAATGAAAACCTTAAAACACTATACCTCAAATTACCTTGTGAACCAGAAAGAAAAAATAATAAAAATTATATCATTGACCTGAATAACAACTTGTGCATTCTTTCATAGGCTCCTTATGCTACCAAACCCTTTGCTCTTTTCTTGCCTGCAGACAAGAGTGATGACTGTGATACACTTGTGCATTAGGTAATAATTCTCTCTTGTGCTTTTGAAAAAAAGATACATCAACAATGCATTTCCTTAAAACTATGCTATTCAACAACAAACTTTCCTTTTGTATGTGCTTATTGTAACAACACTCAAACTGCATCAACAAGGAATGGGTGGGAATGTTTCTGCCCCTCCCTCAAATAATGCTGCTCCAATCTCTCCTGCTTTACATTCACTTCAATGGAAACCCGAATTCTTCCCTTAACCCAATAATGACAGATAAAAAGTTTCAGCAAATTCTACTGACGATGAGTGTACAATAGTGTGAACCACTCCATGCCTGGGTGACTGTCCAGATTGTGGTCAAGCACACAATCTTGGCAGTCAAAATGTAGACTTATGACATGAAGAGGTGTCATCCAGCATCTGTGACTATTCACCGTGATGAAATAGTATGTTACCTGTCACAAGTGGGTTAAGCATCTTATTACTTAACAGCTGTCCCCCTTTAACACATATTTCTTTGATCATTATAACTACCACCAGGTAAAAATGGAATGCTCTTCATGGACAGCTTGGCTTCCTTTCATGCTGTGTTGTGTGATTTTGAGCTTAAAGACAGAAAAGGAAAAGAGGCATCGGAGGGAAATGTGGCAAGGGAAGATGGAAGGATGAAATAAGGGAGGTGGAGAACAAAAGGGAAGAAGGTACAGATAGAATAAGGGAGGAGGGCCACATAAGGAACAGAGGGGCAGGAAGAAGGATAAAAAAAAGAGAGAAAAATGGAAATGGATAAAAGAGATAAAATAGAGATTGACTGCAAGAGACAGAGGGAGACAGCATGACAAAACCCATATGATAAAACAGACAGAAAAATGCCACATTCACCCTTCACAACTGACACACACACACATATTCAAGAGAAATGTTACTTTTAGCTTCATTCCTCATTCGCTGCCATCACCCTCCTCCCTTTCTGGCTGGGGTTCCTCGCCCGCTGGGGCCTCCTGGAGAAGGTACTCAGGATAATCATTATACTTGTCACTCCGACCGATTACTCTTTCCACTGGGTACTTCTCTGCATTCTTGACCATCTTCTCTTTCACCGCCCGAGGCAGATCAATCTCACACTGTTCTGCCAAATCCACTAGGTATATCAGAATGTCACTGAGCTCTTCGCCCACGCGGGTTTTCTCATGCGCTGAGAAGTCTGGCAGCCCTCTTGTAACCTGAGGGAAGAAAGGCAGGATAGGAGATTGTGATTGCAGGGAATCCTGATGCATATACATATTCATTACTAAATGTATCCATAAACAACTACAAAAAACAGTGAAAGGATAGCTAACGTTGCCTGCAGGGAATAAATATGTCTATTTAATTAACATTGGCTGAGAAGAAAGGAACTGATTTGCTAGTATAATCTATAATGAAGGACTGTGTGTTTTATGCACCGACACTTCTGAAAGAAGAGTCGGTGCATTACTAGTGCAACCAAGTAACAATCATTGTATTTTTTCATAACCATTTGCTGTTGAAATAAATATGCATACTGACTGCATAGAGTGGGTTTAATTAATAAATTCATTTCATTATCATTAACTACACAAGACTAAGCTAATTGCTAGTGTAATCAGGAAACAACCATTGCTTCTTTCACTGCAAGGATAGTGTTTGTGTGGTTTGATAGGATTTTTCCGTGCATTTTATGAACAGTTAGCAAGAAAGCAACTGAGCTGACTATACTGTCTAGTGTCAATAATTTCATGTATTTCATGAAAACATCATCTAAGAAACACACACACACACACACACACACACACACACACACACACACACACACACACACACACACACACACACACACACACACACACACACACACACACACACACACAGCACACACACACACACACACACACACACACACACACACACACACACACACACACACACACACACACACACATACATATAAAGGTAACATATTACAAATCCAATTGAATAATATTCTAATTCTACTATCATTATCATCATGATCCTCATGGCTATTATCATCATTATTATTATCATTACTACTATTACTATCATCATTATAACTATTATCATAATTATCAGCATCATTATCATTAATATTATCAGCATCATTATCATTAATATTATCAGCATCATTATCATTAATATTATCATCAAGATAATCATTATTTTTATGATTATCATTATTATTGTCATTCTTATTATTATCATTATTATCATCATCATTATTACTATCATTATTATTATTATTATTATTATTATTCATTATTATTATTACTATTATTATTATCATTATCATTACTATTATCATTACTACCCTTATTATTATCACCTCATTATTATTACTACTAGTATCATTATCATAATCATTCATTATCATTAATACTATCATTATCACTATTATTATTATCATTTATTAATTATTATAATCATTATTATTATTATTATAATTATAAATGTTATTATTATTATCATTATTATAATTGTTATTATTATTATCATTATTTGTATCACTGTCAGTATTACTATCACTATCACTACTATCATCATTATCATTATCATCAACATCCTCATCGTCATCATCAAAATTTTCATTATTGTTATCGTTATATGGAAAACATACAGCCTACAAATTCCTACATTCGAAATGGCATCTGCCCTTGGGGAAGACCCCAACGCAGCTTCTGCCATCAGGTTGTCCGATACCAGTGCTGCCACAAGGAATAGTATGGTGACCTAAGCAGACCCAGCAGAACACTACCTCCTGCTGTTCTGCAAACAACACAAGCCAGCCCTTGGCCACTGTCCTGGACCCGTCACCACTTCAACACCTTTCCCAGTTATATTTATTTGTTTATTGTAATGTATTGCACTCTTTGTACCAGTAAAGAGCCAAGCCATATCAATCTATCACAGCCCAATTAATCTAGTACACAAGGCTCAACAATAATTAAATCAAGAGGCTCTTACACATTATCATTATCATTAGAATGATTGTCAATATCATTATTATTATTGAAATTACTATTATTATTACTATTCTCATTGTCATTATCATCATTTAATGTTTAATGATGGAAAGTATGCTAAACATCAAACGTCATATAGCACTATTGAAAAGTATTGCATCAGAAAGGACAAAGGAGAGTTAAAGATTACAATAAAATGTGTTAGATGCCACAGGTTTAAGAGTGTTATAGAATAGTTTGGCAATGAAAAAGGAAAAAAGGGGAGCAAGTGAACTAGAGCATAAATTAGTAGAAAGGGTAGGGGAGTTAAGGAGGTAGGGCGATTGAGTGAATAATAGTTTATCCGTCACTGGGGAAGGTATAGGAAAAATGTTCAAGGAAAAATAGAGACAGCTGTTGAAAAGTTGGACAAGAATCCAGGGAAAGGGGAAGGTGTTAGATGTCAAAGATTAGAGGGTGTTATAGGGAAGTATGGTAATGAAAAGGGAAAGGAGGGAAATAAATGAAGTAGAGCAGGGATTAGTAAAATCGGGAAGGTTAAGGAGGTAGAGCAATTAAGGGAATTGCATTGAATCTGTGATAGGGGAAGGAATAGCGTTAATAGGTGATAACAGTAAATATTGTTGTCTAAGTAGTTGGGGATTAGGTCTCTGAGGTTGAGATAAAGGATCAGGCATAGGTGAAGGAGTAATGTCTGGGGGTTTAATAGGGAAGGTGGGGTCTGGGGAAGGGTATTGTGATAAAAGAAACAGAATAAGTCGAGAGAGAAAAAACATCATTGTCGTGCTTCCTGTCTGGCCTCATGTAGAGTTAGGCCTAGTTTAAATCTGAGGACTGCTACCTTACATTCAAACTTATAGGCAGGGCAGCTCCTATAAAATACATGATGGGAGTCTCCACAATTGGCACATATACGTAACTGAGTAGGGCAATTTGAACAGTCATGACCAGGTTGGGCACATAGAGGGCTGTGGAGCAACAATGTTTGGCTGGGTGGCAAAAATACCAACATTTCTGACATTGACAAGGAAGGGGTTGATACTGTTGGACATGATAAGACAATCCACCAATATAAAGCTTATAGGCAAGGTATTGTCTATGGAAGCTAATCTTGGCAATATTGACATGGGATTTATGCTGGCCTCTGGGAGTAGTGTAACACTGTACTGTCACTGCATCATATTCAGCAAGGCAGGAAAGCAGGTAATTTTCAGTCCTGATCAGTCCTTGTCATACATGGGACAAGCATTTGGGGGAATAGAAACAGTTCCAGTACAAGTATTAACCCAGTGCCGACGGGTAAAAATGTTTGGCAAGTGGACGTATGAACGGGATTGTTGGTGCACATCCGCAGTTTCCCGTTTGCGCCCGGCTCAATTGGTAATTTGCGAGTGACATTTAGTACCTAAAAGCTTTTATTTTGCTATAATTTATAAAAATATTATAATTTTGAAGGTTTACCTTCATTATAGGTGCCATTGCCTAAAACCTTTACCATATAAATGAACCTGCTAATATCGGAGAAAAACAAACTCCGTCCGATGAGCCAGTGGTGTGGGAATGGGCATGATACAATCCCATCCGTGTTTCGGTCCACAACAACCATGGCATGTACGTACATGCCACCCGTCAAGGGTTAAGAGAGGGGTGAGGTTCGGCAGGAATGGGTTTGCCAGTGAAGTCAGTTAGGGAAGATAGTTCAAATGTAACTGTGACAAGGTGTGAACAATCAGAGTGACCGCGAAAGGTAACCTTGCCTACTTGTTTCAGGAGGCACTGCTGAAAGAGAAGGGTATTCTCAGAATAGGGGACTGTGAGGGGAATCACAAAGAATTGATCCCATTTGGCTGGGCCAAAGAGAGTACTCAGAAAGTTTGCAGAGGTAGAAGCAGTAGAAGGACGAGTGCGAGAGGAAGATGGGGTGGTGTGGAGTGGAGTAGTTCTGCGGGGGGGAGGCCAATAAGGATGAAGAGTAGTAATATGGGAAGAGGGAGTGATACTGAAGAGGACTATGCATATTAAGAGGAGAATGTTGGGGAAGAGGAAAGGGTGCTTGCTAGAGGTTGAGTAATAACCTGGGTGGATGTTTTGGAATGGTTAGAGTTGTTCGTAAGCGTCAAAGAGGGGGTATTAGTATCAGTGGTCGGAGTATTAGTATCAGCGGTCAGAGCCGTGGTCAAAGGAGGGGCAGGGGTCTGAAAACCATCAAAATCAAATTCAGATAGGCTATCTGATGAAGGGGCACGCCTTAATGCCCATTTTAAGGGTAAAGAATCTTCATTATTGGCCATGGTGAGCCTGAAAAACTGGGTAAAAGAAATGGACTACCCCTTAGGGTCCCCATAAGGGATAAGGGCTAGGCAATTAACCAAGGGAATACCATGCCCATGGCTCCCAGAGACCATTCGTGACAGACAGAAAGCCAGCCTTTCATCCTTTCAGCACAGCTCTCAAACCTTAGGAATGGGATAGAAGAAGGGAATGAAGAAGATAAGAAAGAGGAAAGAAGAGAAGAAAGGACCAAGCAAAATTTGTTGCGGCGAGGGCTGAGGCCTCTACACTGGGTCTCAGTCTTCGTCTCCTCAGCCCTCCCACGACGACAATGAGCAAGGTATTGGGAGGGTATGCTCATCATTATCATTATTATTATAATATCATTATTATTATAATATCATTATTATCATAATATAATCATTATCATCATCATCATCAATATTATTATCATCATTATTATTATTTCTATTATTATTACTTTTATTTTATCATTATCCTTATCATTATCATTTTTATTCTTATCTTTCTTATCATTATTATTACCATCATCATTATTATCTTTATCATTATTTCTATTATTATTATTATTACTATTACAATTTCAGACAAGTACACTGTACTGAAGTTATTAGAGCATCAGTTCATGAACATTTATTTCCATGACTCTCCAAGGGGGGAGGCGAAAGGCTGATGCATCATTTACAAATGAAGAACTCCTTGCAACCATTAAGAGTAGCAAATCCATTGCACCTGGGAATCAATTATGACATCATACTTCTTGCAAAGGTACAGGTAAAGGGAAGAAATCCTCTTCTTGATCTCGTCAACCTAACTTATACAACAGGCATCTTGCCTACTACATGGAAACAAGCAACCATCATTCCCATTCCGAAACCAGGACGGCCTTATGAATATAGACCAATATCTCTGGTATCCTGTCTCTCTAAAACCAGGGAGAATAAAGGGGACTTGAAGAAGAAAAGATGGAGAGGGAGAAAGTGAAGGGAAGGAGGCTAAAAGACAAAAGGGGAGAAGGGAAGGAAAGAATGCTGAAAGACAAAAGGACAGAAGGGAGGAGAAGAGGACTTAAAGAGCAAAGGAAGATAGGGAACAGGACAGGGCCGGGGAAGGGAGAAGGGGCTCAGAGCAACAAGGAGGATGGGGGAGAGAGTAAAGGGGATATGGGAGCAAAGGAGTGGGAGAGGTTATAGAAGAGGAGGAGAGACAGGTAGGGGGCAGATGTAGGGCTAACACTGGGAGGGGAAGAAGGAATCTATGGCAGATTTGTGAGTGAGAGAAGGTGGCAGAGCAGGAAAGGAAAAAGTAGGAACAGAAGGAGAAGGAGAGGGAGAGGAACAGGGACAGAGAATGGGAGACGGAGAGGAACTGAGAATGGGAGAAGGAGAGGGAGAGGGACAGGGACAGGGACAGAGAATGGGAGAAGGAGAGGAACCGAGAATGGGAGAGGGAGAGGGAGAGGGACAGAGAATGGGAGAGGGAGAGGCAGAGGGAAATGAAAGAGGGATAGGGTGGAAAGGGAGAGGGAAAAGAGTGGGATAGGGACGAAAGGAGAGGAAAAGAAAGGGGAATAGAGAGGAGAGGGAGAGGGAAAAGAAATGCGAAAGAGGGGAGAAGTACCTCTTAAATTTCTTTGTTCCGTGGATTTCCACAGGTCCCATTAGTAACAGTAATAGTAATAGTAACAATACTACTACTACTACTACTACTACTACTACTACTACTACTAATAATAATAATAATAATAACAACAATAACAATAATAATAATAATAATAATAATAATAATAATAATAATAATAATAATAATAATAATAATAACAATAAAAAAAAGGTAATAGAAGAAAGAAGGAAAAGGGACCTGATGAATGTATCGCTATAACCATTATTATATTATCTTCTTTTTACTAGGCCCTAGTAGTTATTGCTTATTATTCCTCATTATTTAATGATAATTCCCTTATTTAGGAATACTGAAATAATTATCCCAAGTCTTCCCTTATCAAAACACAGGAAGAAAATAAATATCAATATCACTGTCATTTAAGACTAATGATCAAAAGGTATCAGCATTACCATATTACCTCTTCGTTATCATACCTCTAACTGTTATGATGTAATGGGCCATTATTCTCATTCAGGACTTTTCTACAACCATGAGAGAGGTAATCAAAATCTTAGCCCCTTGGTCTATAGCATCTTATCAAACCTTATAAATCAATAATAAAAAAAAAAAAAAAAAAAAAAAAAAAAAAAAAAAAAAATTGTATGGTCAGTCCCTAATATAACATTCACTCTTTATCCCTAGATAGTTAATAACAAATTTTAACCCATTTACAACGGGTGTCCCACATATGAGGGACCCGGAAAAAAAAATTGCCGGGAGTCCTGCCAGTGTGACGCTGTATCAGGGCTTGCGCTCCGACTCAGCAGCAGGCCAGCCAGCCCCGTGCGCCATTTTTGTAGCTGCCCGGAAACTTTTATTTTCAGCTTCAAAATATACCAGCTTTAGTGGGTTAAGGAACTATTTATCAAACTAAATACATTCTGAATTCCTCACTTTACAGTTTAAATTCTCAATCAACCATCCCTTACTCAGTCTTCTAAGCTCAAAATTAACAATCCCCAAACTACAATTCACAACCAACACCATAATCTCCATGATCCATAACCAGATTAAAGATTGTCAAAATCCACACACCATGATGTAAAATTCATTGCAACCCCGTGGTCTAAACCAAAGACCAAAATTTCAAATCGGAAATCCACACTACTTACTCACAACTCTCTGCTCCCATTTACCACCATCCACACTCCCTACTTGACCCAACCCCACAGAGCCCCCTTACCTCTCCACGCCACTGGAACAGTTCTGAGAGTTCGCCCACCTCCCCTACCAGCGCCAACAAGACATTCCGTGGAGGGTGGAACTGTGCCCAGTTGCGCTCTTTACAGAAGTTGTGCTGGTCGGAACGTATCTCCTCGAGGCTAAGGTTTGAGCTGAATCTGTTAAAAGAGGATGCTTGATTGGTTTAATCTATTCGAAACATTATCACATAAAATTCTTAAATACATTCTCAAGACTCTTTTTAATCATACATATTACACAATGTAAGTATCATATGAAACTGTAGCATATTCATGAAACAAGCAATTAGTCACTTGTACGCGAGGATAGATAAGAAATGTATGAGCTTTAAACGTGCCCCTAAAATGTCTTTGATTACAGTTATTACCTCGGTCTAATCCACAATCAGCAACATGCAAGGTGTGTTTACAGCCTATATCACAATGCTGCTTATGTAAAATTTTGATGAGCAGAGACACTATTAATTTGATGCTCTTATACACCTAATACAGAGTCCAATAAATGCAAAATTAGGGACTAAATAACAGCAAATGGGATTGGATAAGTATTAAATCAACAATGACCATACTAATCGGCACATTAATCAATGACTTCAAATTATGAATAACTAAAAGAAAATACTAAAAAAAACAGTTTTCTCAACTTGGACATCAAACACTTTGAAAGAAAGAAAGAGAGAACAAAATATATAAATCAGTCACTTATCAATGTTAAATAAAATGTGTATCCTCATACTTCACTCACTTGAACTCTCTGTCCTCAGGATCGCTTTGGGCCATGGTTCTGTCGTTGGTGATGTGGTGCCTGTTGAAAAATTGGCATTAACATATCATATTAAGATTTTCTTTTATGTTTATGCTATCTTGATTTTCTTGCGGGTCACATAGCTGAGGTAAAATCCTTGCTTTGTAACTGCAGGGTCTTTGTGTACTAGCGTACTAAACAAGCGACTTTGTCAACTCAGCTATGAATAACAACCAGCATCTATTGTTGGGGTCAAATTTGGGGTGGAAAGAAAATTGCTACCCTACCACATCATTACTGAGCTTAGTAGGCTTACTCCTCTGCAGAGTTGTCTCTGACTCCTACTTTGTCAGAGACCAATACCATCTTTTCTGGTGACAATTTGGGTGTCGCACAACACGCCGCGACACCTAAAGGTGTCTCAGGATCAGAGGCAAGACAAGCTGCTAAGTTCCCCCCACTTATGTGTTGTAGTGGGAATGGTTGCAGTTGACGGCTAGCTTTTTTACAGAACTGGTTATTTTTTGACCGGTACAGAGTATTTTGAAATATAATATCCGAGATGGCTTTTGGTATTTTATGGTGGGTTGTGTGGTATAGATATGCAATATAAGTATGATTACTCATAGAATATCCAAAGTAGGAAGAATGCATCTGGCAACTCGATAAATGTTTACTGCCTACTTGATTACTGTCGTGCGAGAGGTGTCGCATTTGCAGTAACCATTGGAAAAGATGGCACAACTTTGAATCTATTTTTTCTTGAAGTTAAGGTTGGTAAGGATGGTAACAAAAATAACACAATATAGTTACAATAATTACAGTAAAAATAATAGCAACAATGTCAACCAATGACAATAATGACAATACTAACAAATATACTAAGCCATTACTATTAACACCAAAAACAGCTGCAAGCACATTTCAAAACAATACAAATCTCAAACATACTTTTATTCTCAGTAAAGAAAACTGTTAGTATTTGACTTATATTTCTGTAAACCAAGCACCATTTAATTTTATGACAGACAAGGCAACTATTCAAAATGCAGCCCTCCTTCATTGTACAAGTATATTTACGAGCATTACTTTTAGGCCATCAATATTTAGAGACTGAAAAGTTTGTGGAGTTTGCTGATTAAATTTTATCCTTTTGTGACTATGTTCAGAAAAAGGGATGTTGATCTTTTATTGTTACCACAAAAAAATTATAGTCTTGTCATGACAATTCTATTCTGATATAAAGCTTGTACACACACACACACACACACACACACACACACACACACACACACACACACACACACACACACACACACACACACACACACACACACACACACACACACACACATCAGGTCAAAACCTCTATACCAGACTTCTGTTTTGTAATACCTAATAATCTAGTTCTTGCTACTGTAGTGGCTCCTGTAACTGTCTCATATTGTTTACATTTATAAGATTTGCGAAACTTAACACCCTGCTGACTGGCAGAGCTATAGCCATCCTGGAAAGCCTACCCTTCAGGAAGGGCATGTTTATACACGTCATGACTCGCTCTAGAAAATGAGCGGGAAGGGCTGGCAGTACAGAGCGAACAGAGCGAACACTCTGCTGAAAAAGGCCAGATGGTTGCCAGGGATCACTGGAATGAACGCCACACAAAAAAATCTGGGAACATCAGTTTAATCTGAAATAGAACCCTGACTTAAATGTTTATTGCTCTTCGCCCTTTCATGCCTATGAGCTGTGGGTCGGTGTTGACTGTTTTGGGTCCGGTGGAAGCACATGACATGTCTATTCCATTGGGGCATTTAGATTATTGGAAAAAACAAAGTCTTCTTCCAAACCATAACATTATGTCACTATTAATAGATGACATTCTGTTCTAGTGAAGTGAATAAGGAATAGGAATTAGGGAATGGGAAGGGAGAAGGGAGAAGAGAGAAGAGAGAAGAGAGAAGGGAAAAGGGAAGGGAAGGAGAGGAAGTCAGGGAAGGAGAGGGAAGGGAAGAGAAGACACGACAGGATAAAGGATGAAAGGAAGGATGGGAGGATGGACAAAAGGAAGGAAATTGAAACTGAAATTTGAAGGAGGAAGGAAGGAAGGACAGAAGGAGAAAGAAGAGAAGGAAGGACAGAAGGAGACAGAAGGGAAGGAAGGAAGGAAGAACAGAAAGAAAAAGGAAGGAAGGAAGGAAGGAAGGAAGGAAGGAAGGAAGGAAGGAAGGAAGGAAGGATGGAAGGAAAGAAGGAAGAACAGGAGGAAGGGAGGAAGGAAGAAAGGAAGAACAGAAGGAGAAAGAAGGGAAGTAAGAGAGGAAGGAAGGAGGGAAGCAAGGAAGGACAGAATTCAGAAAGGAAGGAAGGAAGGAAGGAAGGAAGGAAGAAGTCAGAAAGAAGGAAGGAAGGAAGGAAGGAAAAAGAAGGGAAGGGAAGATGGAAGGATGGAAAGAAAGAAGGGAAGGAAGAAAGGGAAGGATAAGAAGCAGAGAGGGAAAGATATAGATACATAGACAAAGACAAAAAAGAAACAGACATACAAATACTGAAAAATGAGAAACAGAAAAAGTGAAACTTTTATAAAAGGAGACGAAGAAAATAAATGAGAAGGAAACAGACAAAATATAAAAAAGCCAAATAATAAATACACCGACAGAAGGAAAGACAAAGACAAGTAAACAAAAAGGAAAAACATTCAAAAAACAAATAATAGATTTTGGAAAAAAAACACACCACCGCAAAACAAAATTCCAATTTACACGCACTCCACAAAATCATAATTATTATTTATCCAATAATTATAAACCCTCGAGATCTCTTTAACCACATCTGCACCAGATATGACACTGTATTATGAAGAAACTCGCCTAAAAAACATTAATTAAAACGAGTACAGGTTCCCGACCTACCTTCACGTGCCGAGTTTGTTTACCTTTGTCAGCTGTTGCATGGGTTAAAAATGTTTTCTTTTTTGGACTGGGTTAAAAACATTATTATAATTGAGGTAATCGTTATCTTAATGTCGTTATGGCTGTTTCTTTAGATTTGTTTGTTATTTCGCCTCAATTTATCTTATTATGTTTGTTTTTAAAAGTTATTATTATCGCTAATTATTACTGCTATTATTATTGTTATAGTTATTTTTATTACTATCATCATTATCATTGTTATTATTTCTCTTTTAGCATTATTATTATTATCATCCTTATTCTTACCGTCATTATCATTATCCTTATTATTGTTACTATCATTACTATTATTGTTATTATCAATATTATCATTATTATTGTCACTATCATTAACATTTTTGTTAATATCACCATCATTATTACTATTACTGTTATTATCATTGTTATTATTATCATTATTATTATTATTTTATTATCATTATTATTATTATTATTATTATTATATTATTATATTATTATTATTATTTATTATTATTATTATTATTATTATTATTATTATTATTATTATTATTATTATTATTATTATTATTATTATTATTATTATCATTATCATTGTTATTATTATCATTTATTATTATTATTATTATTATCATTATTATTATTATTATTATTATTATTATTATTATTATTATTATTATTATTATTATTATTATTATTATTACTATTATTATCATTATTATTATCATTATTAGCATTATTGTTATTAGCATTATTATTATTAGCATTATTATTATTATCATTATTATTATCATCATTATTATTATTAGTAGTAGTATTTTTACTATTATTAATATTATCAATATCATATTATATTATTATTATATCATCATTTACTATTATTGTTATTATCATTATCATTATTATCATTATCATCATTATTATCATTACTATTGTTATTATTGTTATTACTATTATCACGATCATTATCATCCTTATTATCTTTACTACCATCATTATCATTATTACTATTATTCTTTTGCTTTTATTTTCATAATCATTATCTTTATTATTGCCATTAATATTGCTATTATTATTATCGTCATCATCATTATCATTATTGTTATCATTATCATTATTAACATTATTATCATTATTATCATTATTATCATTACTATTATTATACTCACCATCATCATTGTCAACAATATCATCATTGCTATTAATATTATCATCATTATCGTTATCATTATTATCATTATTTTTATAATCATTACTGTTATTATCATTATCATTGCTTTCATTATCACTGTTGTTATCATATTACTATTTTTATCATCATAATCATCATTATCATTCGCAGCATTTTTATCATTATCATTATTTTCATCAATATTGTTAATGATGCCATCCTTATTATGAATTATGTCATTAGTATTATTGTTATAATCATAATTACTACTGTTATCACCATTGTTAATATTACTGTTGGTTTATCTTCACTCTCTATCAACTTCATCATTGTTATCATAATCATTACTACTGTCCTTATTATTAC